GATCAAGTGTCAGCCACACATCGCCGCCTGAGATCGCTCCGTGTGCCCCGCCGGCCGGTTGGGTTGCCTACCTACAGGCGCGAAATTCCAGAAGGTAAATTTGGCTCTGGCACCCTTATTTTAGATTTCCTACCCCAAGTGTCCTATATCAAAATACTCCCCTACGCACCACCTACACGCTCCCAAACGGTGGCAGGTACTATAGGAATCACCCTGTATAGTTTTTAAGTATACCTTTGCGGTTAGCAATCTGTCAAGACCTTTAAAGATGCAAATAATTTCCGCCCACTTCAAAAACCTTCACGATTCTTTAAGAACCTGCCCTATGTTCGTGTGTATCTGTGACCACAGGTACCCGTTTTTAATAACTCCTTTACGAGGAATGAGTAGCTCCAGTGTTAAATTAAACAATTATGGCTCAGCGTACCTCCTACCATATCATATCACTGCAATAGTACGAATATTAAGAAATTCGAATTGTGTAAACTTTAACGCTTTAATTTTGTTTCAGCGACATTTAACGCATAAATCCATAAGCGTCATGTTACAGTTTTAAACGATACATGTTTATACTGCTCCACAATAGAGGGCGCCTTTAAGTATACCTAAATTTGTTTCCCAAAAAATGCATAAGGTTAGCAATCTGTGTATGCTTAGATCTGTGGTTAAAGTATTCTCGCATAAAGATAAAAGCTGCAGATTGTTTAACAATAACTCATTAAAGCTAATTACAAATACAGCGGAACGTTTGTTCTATCCACACACAACCGAGTAAATAATAACGCCAATATAATACTCCGGGTCTCACGGGATTACTTGATCGTGACGTGTGACGGCGTGACGGATGAGATGATTTTCCTCCCCTGCAAAGAACATACAGTGCATACCGTTCTGTCACAGCACCGTCAACGAAACGTCAAATATTCTTACATTGAAAGCTATAAACGTGTGAAATTTGGTTGTCAGTTCTGGTTCGCAATGGGGTTCTAATTATTAAATAAACGGATTATCCCTTACCCATGTAATTTAGTAATAGTTGTCTGTAATCTTATAAAAACACGACTAGTTTCGACGTTTCTGTCATCTTCAGGTAAGAAATAAAATGGTTGGTTGTAGTTAACAATAATTCAGGTAGTGGAGTAATTTTAAAGTTAAAAATACTTGTTTTGTCGGAAAGAATAAACGGAGATATAAAAGGCGAGACGTAGTTTTTTATGTTTTTAATAGCATTTTAATTAAAACCCAATTACTGCACACGAGATTCCCTTAGGGTTGGTTAAACGGGTTAAAAATTGAGTTACATTTCAAAAATCTTCAAATAAACTTGGTTATCGACTACAACCCGACCGCAAAATATTAACCCCGAGAAACTCAGCTTGCTGCTAGTAGCTTCGATGTAGTTTCAAATATGTTTTTTCGATTTTACTCACCCTTATGGACATTTCATTTCTTAACGAGAATACAAACATGAAATAATTTTTAATTTCTGAATGACACCAATACCAAGTCTGTAAGTGGTGTAGTTCCGGAACCTTTGTCAGACAACAAAAGCGCAAAAGTGCACTTTTGATTCTTTGAAGGTGCTCTGAGAATAAAGACGCCAAAAAACCAACGAATTCATGATGCTACAGTCGCCCGATTTGTTTTTCCAACTGTTAGCCAAACCAATATTCATTGAGGATATACGTATGAAAACTGCGATCATTAGAAAAAGAATTTCGTTTTGTCTATTTATGTGGGAAATTCAAAAAATTAATCCATACCTAAATGCTCCCGATACAAAGTTAAAGTAGTTTATGTAGGTGGAGTACTATGGAAACACGTTTAATCAGAAATTTTTTAATGTTGCGTATCGTATTTTGCACTCGATATGAGGTTACCTACGGGTTTCATACAGGAAACTATAATATTGAACATCATTTCGATGGTGGGCGTATAAGTGATTAAATGAGAAACCGAGTAAATGAGAAATATAGATTACATTAACATTCACTTGCGTAGTTAATTTTTAAGCTAAAACCAAATTTTGTCAGATAGTAGAAAGTGTTTTTTAGATTATAAATTTTTATTACTAAAATAATGAAAAATACACAATCTGAACTAAACTTATATCTTTTGACGCATTACAAAAACTGAAAAACAAAACATATATCATTTTACTTTAACAAATTTTCATATTTAAACTTTTAACACTTATTCCTCGTCGCTTTCGTTTTCAACTCGTATCATCTTGTTTAGAAGGCAAATTTTTATAAAAATCGTGAAATACCTTGTCAATGTAGGGAAGCTACTCTAATAAATGTTCCTTTCTTTCTACGTGGGGGGAGGGGGGGGGCTATAGGTACGCCCAAATTTTTGAATTTTGAATAATTCAATAACGATCAACCAACAAACGTGAAAATGTAACTAACAAACATTAACAAGCGACCAACAAACGATAGCAAAAAAAATATTTTGAAAATTCCAAAAGTGGGGTGCTAACTAGATGCCTAAATTTTTGAATTTTTTAGAAATAAATAACGATCAACCAACAAACGTGAAAATGTAACTAACAAACACCAACAAGCGACCAGCAAACGATTGAAATAGAAATATTTTGAAAATTTAAAAAGTGGGGGGCTAGCTGAACGCCCAAAGTTTTGAATGTTGAATAATTAAATATCCATCAAGCAACAAACGTCAAAATGTAACTAACAAACACCAACAAACGACCAACAAACGATTGTAAGGACCATATTTTCAAAATTCAAAAAAGTGGTGGCTAACTAGACGCTCAAAGTTTTCAATTTTGAATAAAAAAATAACGATCAACCAACAAACTTGAAAATATGACTAACAAACACCAACAAACGACCAACAAACGATTGCAATAAAAATATGGTGAAAATTCAGACAGTGGGGCCTAACTATACGCCCAAATTTTGAGATTTGAATAATTAAATACCGGTCAATCAAAAAACGTCAAAACGTAACTAACAAACACCAACAAACGATTGTTATAAAAATAATCCGAAAATTCCAAAAGTGAGGGGCTAACTTGACACCGGTGTACTTAGTTCTTAGGCCCGCCATTATAATTTATTTATTTCATTATTTATTTATGTAATAAATTAAAGCAGAATAAGCAAAATCGAAATGAAGTTTACTTTTCGTTTGAAAAACTACACATTTCATTTTACACAATTTTCTACATATGCCCCTTTACACTGGCACCATCCATTTATTTACCACTCAAATATCTTGATATGTACCTGCAAACTATCATGTAAGTCTAAACATGCGTAAACACGGGTATGACAAATTTTCAGATATTCGTGTATATACCGACAGCTTTAAGTGCAGTAACCTCATATAGGCGTCTGTTCTATTGTGATCAGTAACAATTGCAAATGGGATTTCGCGAACTGCTGATTGGAAAAAAATCCTTTGTGGGAAGCTTATGGTAGGTATATTTCTAATACTTCTTACGATGGAAACGGATTACTGGCTTATCGAACTGCAAATTTTCATTTCATTATTTCAAGGATACTGCTTCCAATTTTTCATTAAATCCATCCATACTGATTCCCCTAAATTCGCTTTTATTTCCCGATTCACTTTCAATTTCTAGCATATGGGTAAATGTGGTTATTCTTCTTGAAAGCGATTATTCAAATTAATGAAATACAATAAAACCCTACTCACGAACAACCCAAAACGCTTTGTCGTAACTTTATTTTACCCGCAATTTCAGTTGCCAAGCTTGTTACTGAAGCGTAATTAAAATGATAAAATCTAAACGTTACTATTCACGTGCATTAAATTCTTATTATCGCTGATAATTTCAGTGCTTAATTCTCTTCTTGACGGCCCCTTTAAAATGTTTGCTGCATTAGTGTCTGCAAGAAAAGATTATAACTTGCTTCTGGATTAGATAGGATAATTAATAGCCGTTTTTAATTACCGATTGTTTTTAAAAGTCTAATTACACGAATAAGGTCATACGCTTCCCAAGTAGTATAAAACGTGTGGAAAACATACACCTTTATTGGAATACGTTTCCCCGTTTAATTAGGAGGGTATTGAAAACATTGAAGTTCTCGAAACAATAGGTGTAACGGGGAACAATGGAAATTTCTATGCTGGAAGTTAGATGAGGCATAGGCATAAGAGAAAATCTTTTGCACTAATAAAAAGTAGGTAATTCAAAATGCGTAGATTTTATACATAATAGCATGCCGTTAGGTATTCTTTACGATACAGCGTCTAAAAGTACATTTTCAAATAAATATGCGAAAGAGGGTGCTGACTAATGAAACTGTGCGGATTTGGATTATTGGGCTTGAAACGCGGGCATTCATTAAATTGGGTTTACATATTTTTTACAGTCGTAATCGACCCATAGGTAATGTTATACTCATCAGAGTTGATCCAATTATTGAAACAAAGGCACCCAAATGGTATAGTTTTTCCTTTTTAGGTAATTAAATCTACGCTACAAATACCAATTATTATCTAATATAGCTTTTTCAGAAAAATCTAGCAAATAGTTTGTACCGGCATTCTAATCGGAAAACCTAAATTAAATCCATGGTACCGGGGGCATTTCGAAAAAAATACTCAAGTGCCACCAGCGCCCGGACTAAATGTCCTGAAGGGCCACGGAGCCTGGAAATCAACAACTGTAGATTCAGGATACGTCGAAAATTTAACTTACTTGAAGTTATTGTTATCAAATACGCGAAGTGTATATTTTAATCCCAAGGGATTAAATGAAAATTGAATCGCTTGGGATCAAATGAACAACTTCTGTCCCCAAAAATGGAGATAGCGAAATAAATAAATAAATAAATAAATAAATAAACCGAAACGAAATTAGAGAATCATAGTATTATGGGCATATGTCAACGCAAAAAACGTTGACGTCAGAAATTTTGATTGTTTAGGTCAAATTCTTAATCAAGAAATGGAATGCACAAAAAAATTGATTTAAGATCATTCACTTTACCGGCCAATGAACAATGCGTCCAGTAATCGGAAGACATAGAGTGGAAGGACAAAAACCCTCGTCAACGAAACACTGGAATATTTACAGAAAAGTCGAGTGTCAATATAATGAACGAAGGGAAAATTTGAATTATTTAACGGAAAATTGGAAAACCTGCGATCTTGCAAAAGTGATTGGTCGTTTACCTTTAAGTTATATTTGTAAAAGTGGAAGATTCTCTACTTCTCATTCTAATATTCGTAGCGAGGCCGACCTAAGGGTTTTATGGGTCAGCCGCAACAAATCCAATAAAAATTACTAGACTGTCATTGTGAAAATCTATAACCGTGTGAGCTTATTCGAATATCGACTGCGGATGCAGCGTTTAATTAAATGCATCAGGAATTAATATATAGGTAGTTTATTACCTATTCACAGTACTACCGGCAATCTAGGAAACATATGAAATTTCGAGTCTGTTTAGGAAATATACCTACATAATGGCTGGCGCTGACCATTGTGATAAATTTGGGGCGCATTTTATTTTAAACCGTAAGGGAAGGGAGACTACTTCTGCCATCGGGAGGGGCTGTTTTTTCTTCCCTCAATTATACCCATTGTATAGAATACCTGATTCATACAGTTTGTCGGTAACATTTTCCTTGCGTTCGCATTTACATATTACATATTATATAGGTACGATTTTCTGTTATTGTGTTAATTTCGTATAGGCATTGAATATCCAGAGGAGTTGGATATTCAATGGAATAGGTAAGCGAAATGCATTTCTTGTAATATTATACTCTTATTGCACCAAAATGCGATTTGAAATAAAGCAGCATTCTATGCGAGCTTAAAACTACTGTCTAGGCATTGAATCGGTAGCGAGGTTCTTCCCTTTCAGAATCGGATTTAGGCATTCCAATAATAAGAATTGCAAATTGTTTGGCGATATTGGAATTTTATAATGCAAATATTTCAAAACTGTTAAAACAACAAATCCCGCAGAAATACGTATGCACGATCCAATTCGAGGGTATAGAAATATCGAATTGAAATCCGCTCGCAAATTGTGTTTGTAAAACATCCTCATGCTATATATAGTTAAAGTAAATGAAAATTAAATTTTTTTCTGTTGCAGGTGACATTGTCGATATCGATCCTTATCAGTCTACACGTCTTCTTCCTGCTAGTTGTAGAAATTATACCACCAACATCCTTAGTCGTTCCGTTACTTGGGAAATATTTAATATTTGCCATGATTTTAGTATCGATAAGGTAAGTGCAATCGTGATCCTCCGCATATCTCTGAATCGCTACTTCAACTTTTAATTGAAGAGCTTATAGGATTAGAGCGCAGTTCGCAGCGATTTATAAATATGGTTCATAATTTGGAAAATTTATTTTTACTAATTAAACGGAGTTATTTACTCTTTTAGTACGTAGGTAGCAATCAGTGACAGGGCTACAGTATACAACGATGGGTGCCGCTCACCCTGAAAAGTGTCTCAATCCACAGATTTTTGCAATATTAATATATAGCTGTGGCGGGTGTACCAGATAACTAAACTATTATTGATCCCAGAAGTTCGTAGACTTTCATTTGAAGCTTAATAAAAACTAACTGTGTCCCTTTTGTCGGTGAAGATTAGACCGACATAAAATGGAACACCCCATCTACTCATATCCAACTTCAATGTGTCTGTTTGTCTATTGAAACCCAATAAAATTATTGTTTTAAAATTTGTGATTTCCTTTTAACATGAGACGGGATAGTTTAGATTAAATTGTCTTGTAATACCGAACTCCCACTTATAAAAAACAATCTTTAAGCCGCTTGTGAGAAAGAGGCGAAGATGCACTTTCATATTGGTTTTTTTCGATTTTAATATAGCCCTTATGGACATTTCATGCCTTAACGAGAATACAAACATGAAATCATTTTTTTTATTACTAGCGTTTGATGACATTTGTAAAGTAGGCTTTCCCGACAGTTGTTAAAAGTGGTTAATTGTAGTCATTATCAACTAGTAGTCAATAATCAGAACTGTCACGCTGTCACAAGGTCACAACCCGAAATTTGGCACAACTAATTTCACGTCGCAAACAAAATAATATTGAACGTACATTGCGTCAGAAAAGATGACTCACAGTCTCGTTACCACCTCGTACTAATCTCGTTTTTCATCACAAACACAATCAATTATTATTAGTTCACCGGATAATTATATTCGATCACTAAACGATAGATTGAAAAAGGGCCCTGTAGGACGGGCGTGCACTATTCCACTTTTTGACCACATTTAATGTTAATAACAATTGAAATTACATCAGATACAGATATTATTACTGCAGGTATCGAAGCAAAATAAAATGTCCATCTGACTTTTTCTTTACTTTGAGAGAGTAAGAGAGAATCAAGTATTGGAATACAAAATATGAATGCATATATTTCTTCGTTGAAAGAGTCAAATTTTATGAGAAAAAAAACAGTTGCACGTAAAAAAGTCACGCAGAAGTTTTTCAAAAAAACTTTTAAAACAGAAAAATAGTATCGAAATACAACGTGGAAACGCAGCTTGTATAATGAGCACCTTTTCTGAAACATCTTCAATGGAAGAAATATTTTATAAATTGTTAACCCCTTTATTGTGAAATATGCAAATAAATTCCAAAATTTAAAAAAAATTCTTATAAAAGACACAAGCACTTAGTAAATTATTTCTGAAATTTTCAGAATCAAACCGTTAAAATGAAACTGAAATTTTGTAGATAGTCCAAATTCAAGGGGTTGTTAAAAATGACAATTAACCAAATCCCTAAAATATCGTTAGACCCTCTAAAAAAATTACCATTATAAATTTTACTTTTCTTTTAATTTATTGCGTAATGCACTGCCAATAAATTTATTGTACACTCAAAAGATATCTTAACAGTTTGATAGATTAGAGAATAAGGCTTAGAGAACTAACTTTGCAATTGTTTGCTTTTGACGAATCCAAGACATTTAGGTGTAGCAAAATTCTATTTGATCGATGGTTTCAGTTTATGTCCAGGAAAGTGCATTTGGTTACCTCTCCCCGTCGGGTCGGACGCTATTATCTATTCGATAAGAGATTGTCACCGATGTCTCAACGCGGTGTTTAGTTTACTAGCAGGTTTCTATAATTGAGATGACATACACTAAAAATACTCTATATAATTTAGGTTTGTTACATACAGCGCAAGATTTTCATTAAGCAAACTCCATTATATAACTTTTTGTGGCAGTTTCACTAATGGGGAATTAAATTTACGTTGTTTATTGAGACTGTTGACAATTTGTGTATTACACCAATCTAAATACGTCGCTTTGGGTTTATTTAAATTCATCACAAACGGCGACACAAAACTCCTTATCGCGCACAATTTAATTGGCAGATTTACGGTTTATTCAAAGAAAGTAGTCTTTGTTTATTTACGCGTGTAACTTTCTACTTACGGAACTTTAAACCTCCCGTTCGGTTTATTATGCGTCATGTAGGTAATGCTTTGAGCGTTAATGTTTTTTTCCAGCTAATGATTCGTCAATAACGTTCATTTTCAAATGTGGATTTTCTTTTTTACCACACGCACGTTAGTAAGGGAGGTATTACTGCATTGGGGTAAACAATGACCCACCACTTTTTTGACGGAAATACACGTTTTGAACCACCAGGAATCCGAATCAAACAATATCTCGATGATGTCGATCGGTCTGTCGGTCTTTCTGCCTGCACTCTCATTTCTGGTTAAACGGCTGAACCGATTTAAACCAAATTTGGTTCTTGGACATAAAAGGAAGATCTTTTGGGGATAATCGCGCATGCGCAAGTGTCTCACATTCTCATTTCCGGCTAACCGGCTAAACCGATTGGAACCAAATTTGTTATAAAAAGGCAGAATCGGGTACGCGCAGGTGTGAGGGTTTATTTGTGCGAGTCACAGCAAATTTTTTATTTAAACAGCAATCACTTCACCACCTTACTTTATTTGGAACACGCCGGATTAACTTCCACTACCAAAATCGCTTTTTATGGGGACAATTTGTCCGCCTTTGATAATTAATTCGTGGCCCGAAATTGGCGATTAACTTAAAAATGCCGATGCCCAAATTTTGTGTTGGTTGGTATCCCTATCCGGTATGAACAAAACAATTTTTCTTTTGTTGAAAGGAGCATATTCGGTAAATATTCCAAAGTCATGGAAGGAATCTATCATCCTTCCCACAAAAAAACCAGGTAAAGATCCTCGTAGTCCTAACTCCTATAGACCTATCGCACTAACATGCTCCATGTGAAAACTTCTTGAAAAGATGGTTAACAATAGACTCTTGTGGTATCTCGAAAAACGGAAAATTCTCTCTCCTGTCCAATCTGGATTCAGACCGCAACGTTGCACTATAGACAACTTACTAGTACTTCAATCCCATATTATAAATGCCTTCAATGAAAACCACGAAGTTATAGCTGCGATCTTTGATATAGAGAGTGCTTTTGACTCTCTTCCCTACCCGGTTGTACTGAGAACGTTAGAAGACCACCGTATCAAAGGAAATATATTCTCCTTCATTGAAAATTTCCTAAGAAACCGTCGTTTCACAGTGACAGCCAACGGAAAGAGGTTAATTACCCTCAGACAGGAAAATGGTGTACCACAAGGTTCGAAGGTTCGGTACTGAGCCCAACATTGTTCATCCTCTCCATTAACGATATTTGTAAAACGATCAAACCACCAACTTGCGCGGGTCTTTATGCAGACGACCTGCTCGTAATCTGTCATGGTAGCAACACCGTCACGACAGTGAACATAATTAAAAAAACAGTGGATGCTCTCTACGAATCGTCTAGCAGAATCGGCATCCGCTTCTCAGCGACAAACCAAAGTCATCAAGTTTTCCAGAAGAAGGAATAATCAGACCATCCCAAATATTACACTTCACAATATCAACATTCCCACGGTCGATCAACTCTCAATCCTAGGGATTGTTTTCGACAATAGACTTAGCTGGAAGAGTCACATCACAAAGGTTAAAGACAATTGCCTAAGAAGGCTTAACATCCTCAGAAGCCTATCACACCATCAATGGGGAGCCGAAGAAGACATTCTACTGAGAGTATATAGATCCCTCATCCGCTCCAGAATGGACTACGGCAGCATCCTCTACATGTCAGCTTCAAAAACGAACCTAAGGCCTCTCAATAGCGTACAAAACGCAGCTCTGCGTATCTGCTCAGGAACTTTCCGATCTAGTCCAGTGGATAGTTTATGCTGCGAAACCAACGAGCTCCCTCTTTGGCTAAGAAGACGGCAACTCCTCTTGTCACACTGCTCGAGAATGTCTGCAAACCCACTAAATCCAGTCTACACAGTTATACTCAAGAGAAACGTAAACGTCAACACCCCCAAAAGAACCTAACCAGTCAGTTACATCCTGCCATCTCTTCTTTTCAACATTGACCTTAAGCAGATGACACATATCACTAGCGCTGCAACCCCTCCATGGAAAATATGTTTATCAAAAACTAACATGAATCTAAATAATTACTCCAAACACGACACGCCCAACGAACTCATAAGACACAACTTCCTAGACCTTATGCATAAATCAAAATTCGATCAAGTGCTTTACACTCTCGTATATCTGTGCTTTCACTAAGGGTAGTATAGACTTTCGACACGCTTTTTTGGATGGCATCCGGCATTGGAATATTAGAAGTACGTCATTAAACCAACGGTATATGGTGTAGGTAGTAATAGTTATTTATGCATCAAGGGCATTAAGGCGATATTTATGCCGAGGGCCACAGAGCCCGAGGGATTGTAAGTCGCCCGAGGGTTAAATATTGAGTAATGCCTGGTGTGCATACAACATTTTATTTTTCATCATTCCAAAGAATGCATTTCCAATATACAAATGTCATGATTATTGTTTGCCCAATATTAAAGTGCTCCATACGAATCAAGTTGCATTTTTTATGACATAATATAACTCCGTCAATCAATTTGACAGGCCATTTGAGGGCATAATGAGATGACAATCCATTATGCCCTCTCATTATGCCCTTGGGCGTAATAGACTGCTTCATATGTCACATATGACAGATATAATTGACATATAATAGGCAAATGAAAAATAAAAATAGTTATTACACTTAGCTGTTGTGTAATCCAATAACCTCACGCAACAGCTAATAACAGTAATCTGTTTTTACGAGTTAGGGATGTAATCAGTCATAGCAGTCAATAGCTTGAAAATTATACAAATAAGTTAACGAAATGGATATGAAAATGATATAAGATGTTGTAAAAAGAAACGTGTCATTTCTTGTCTACAAAATGACGTTATCCTTAGAAAAGGATAAATGTAAAAGTTACACTATTTTTACGGCTCTCCAGAGAATCTTTATTGCTGACTGCTGTGCACCTATAAGAATGTATTTTGTTGCAACTACTTCTTTGGTTATACCAACTACCGTATTGTAGGAGCACGTAGGTACGCTATACGTTTTATAGCAAAGATAAAAAAAGGTCTTCGGTGACAGATAGACATAGTGTTAACCACACTCGTGATTGATCTGGAAAAGATATAAGGGATGATGGATTCGAGTGGCTAATATTTCTATGCTACAAATTACTTTGCGTTGTACGATATTTATTTAGCAAGTTGAATATATATAAGTACTACGGCGGTTGGAAACTAAAAACCCTAAACTGAACCACAGATCTACACATACACAGATTGCTAACCTTATACATTTTTGGGAAACAAATTTAGGTATACTTAAAAGCGCCCTCTATTGCGGGGCAGTATAATCATGTACCGTTTAAAACTGTAATATGACGCTTATGGATTTACGCATTAGATGTCGCTGCAAAAAATTTAAAGCGGTAAAGTGTGCATATAATCCAGTTTAATTGTATTTTTACCAGGAAGGTTGTGGGGTAGTTTTGATTTCTTTGATTCTATATGTTTTTTGGGGTGCTGAATCCGAATCTGAGGTTTGCTAACACAATTTCATGACGCAACATTGAAAACAATACAAAAAAAGTTGAATAAGATATTTTTTTAGCAGTTTTGTGCTTACAACTCGAAAACTATCAACTTTTCGAAAATAACCTCCCTATCTTATATCTTATCGGCGTGGTAAAGAGGGTAACGTTAATGATGGCAGAGATATACATAGTTTGTAAGTATGCCTTTGCGGTTAGCAATCTGTCAAGACCTTTAAAGCCGCAAATAGTGTCCGCCAACTTCAAAAAACCTTCACAATTCTTTAAGAACCTGCCCTATGTTCGTGTGTATCTGTGACCACAGGGACCCGCTTTTAATAACTTCCTTACGACGAATGAGTAGCTCCAGTGTTAAATTAAACAATTATGGCTCAACGTACCTCCTATCATATCATACCACTGTAATAATACGAATATTAAGGAATTCGAATTGTGCAAACTTTGCGCTTTAATTTTGTTTCAGCGACATCTAACGCATAAATCCATAAGCGTCATATTACAGTTTTAAACGATACATGTTTATACTGCTCCGCAATAGAGGGCGCTTTTAAGTATACCTAAATTTGTTTCCCAAAAAATGCATAAGGTTAGCAATCTGTGTATGTGTAGATCTGTGACTGAACTAAATCATAACAAGAGTGCCACTGGATTCGGTCATGGAACCTTTTTAAGCAAATTGTGCGCTGTTTTACCCGTCCATCTGCCTTTTTCATACCTATTTCGCGAACGATAAATTTGGGCAATGTAAGCCCTTTGTTAAAAGTTGTCTACAAGTCTCAGTGCCGCTGCGATCAATGCTATGATTAACAACCACCTTTACACTAAATGCACTTATAACTCCTCATATATGTCAAAAACTTCATCATCCCCCTATTCTGTTTCTAAATTCTCCGAATTGCGCTACAGAAAATCGTATGCGTTTCTTCGTATCTTGTTTTTAACGCGTGATTTAAACCATCATACATCTTCTTCACCCATGCACCTTCTTTAAGTTTCCTTGATACGGATACAGGAAATCCCAAAAGGAAAAATGCCCACGGAAGCATAAAGTGCTATACTCAAAGGATGGGTTGTCTTATGTTGGTTAGGCCAAAACCACTGTTCCAATATTTATTTACCGCAAAGAAGAGGAAAAATAGCATGTTTTAACAAATGAATTAGTGAATGAGGATTTACCCTTCATCACAGTGGTATTAGAAATATTCTTCGAATATTAGATAGAATAATAGACAGTAGGTATAATACTTTCACATGGACAGAACGAGCGAATGCGAAAAAGAGTGAGCGATGCACTGTTAGTGTAAATATCTAAAAACTATCAATTTTTAAATCTCGAATGCAAACCTCGTGCACATTTGGGTTCTCAGGGTGACATTACGTGTGTTGGTGTTCTGTATGCAGTTTTAATACCCCTTCCCAAATTCAACTTGTCATCACTACGACAGCGTAAAGTTGTGATAAGTCAGTTCGTTGCCGAAAAAAAAGGCTAAAATATACAACTTCTTCTCGATGATAAATAAAATTTCAATCCAATCAAAGGAAAACATTGCAATTCCCAATAACTGAAAAAAATTATCAAAATTGTTTGCCTGGATCTGATTGTCATCAATGAATAAAATACAATAATCACAGAACGATTTTAGTACCGAGGGTCGATTTCTTCAGGAATATCCAAGTTACTTTCCTTAAAATCGATATGCAAATTCTAAAAATAAGCGACCGCTAATCTATACAATGCGAAAATTCAAACAACTTACAGTAATTGACGTGGATGAGGTTCCTTTGGGATTAGAATCTCTCTGATTCTTTCCGGAAAAATGCCGCTCCATTTAAAAATATGGAAATAGACCGCTGCTACGGTACAGTTGTTTTATGTACCATCGTGATAACGTTAATTTCAAATGCCAAGAAAAATATCCATACGAATTGTAAAATCCAACAAACCAGCTCCAAATTCGCGAAAGTAATACGCGATATTATGATTATACATTGGAATAAAACGCTAGGTTGATATTAAAATTTTGCCCAATTAATTATGCTTAATTCACCAATTAAGACCGCTTTTACACGGGGATACAGTCTCCCGAAGACTGGTGTCTCGGATACACCCGTAACATTGCGTCTAAAGCTTGAAGTACCTGGTCCGGACGGAATCGGACCGGACCGGACGGCAAAAATTCCTATGGAATGATCATAATTTTATTGTTTTACACGTAATTTAATTTAATTTAAATTAATTTAATTTAATTTAATCGTAAATTCTGACAACGGACTATATTTCGGGTACAGTATTTCGCATAAACAACCCTAACAAATTCCTCTTGCAAGGTAGAAAAAATTTGAAGGAACGATTTATTATATTAATATTGTATAAGTATCCTGGTCCTTATCTTTAGATCTATTTAGTCTCAACATGCTTTCATTCGATTGCTAAAAACGTTTTTTATTGTTGCAGCATATGCGTTACTGTTGTTGTCCTTAATGTACATTTCCGATCTCCGCAAACTCACAGAATGGCTCCTTGGGTGAAAAGGGTTTTCATACACATATTACCTAGGTTATTGGTGATGAAAAGACCCCAATATGTATTTGAAAACCATAGGTAAGTCCGATCGATATTATACATCTATGAAATGTATTTGCATTGAAACTGAATGCTTCAATGGTTTATTATGCCTGCTACAAAATTTATGAATGAAAACTGGTACCTTCATGTTGCCATATTCGTGTTTAAGACTATGCAGCGGTAATTAGATAATTACTTAAGCTGCAGCTTTTTACATGATTGAAGTTTAACTGCAGCAAAAGTATAATTAGATTGAACTTTTAACCAAGTTTAGACGCAGTAAAGTTTTGTACTTTGCGAGAACTACACCATAAAATTTTGAACATTTCTGACGTTAAACGAACCATTTCTTTGATAAATTAATCGCTTCAATGACAGCATGCAACTAATTTATCTTATTCATGTTTAGTTACGTGTCGAGACGCTTGCTAATACGAGGAAGAGAATTACAGCCATACTTTTACCCCTACCAAACTACCGTCGACACTGATGAGTGTACTTCAAAACGTTATTTCAACCGAAGCCCGTCAAAGGAAGAGCTATCACCGAGGTAATATTTATGTTAATTTGTTCTATTTCGAACTTTCTAATTATCGCATCCCACCTCTCTTTATTTTTTAACTTTAGCTGTTCGTTAATATCGTTAACAATTCTATAAATGAAGTGTAATTATTTATAAACGCATTATGCCTAATTTCCATTATCGCCACGAACGCGAAGCTCAAAGAAAAGCTTGTTTTGTGCAAAGAGTCCTTTAAAAGAAATAATTAGTTCCAAAATTTAAGAACCAAAATATGCATATTATGCGTATTAGGTATATCACTCAAGAGTTATTTCTCCACGAAATTTGTTCAAACAGGTGTAATAAGTACGAGGTAGTTGGTCATTTATTATTCTGGCCGTTGCTTTTAAAAGCACGCTACAGGCATAGACGAGTGATCAATGAGCTTGGGTACGCCAGACTCACCACACACCAACCAAAAAAACAAACAACAAAATGGCATATTTTCAGTTTCAACCTACAATTAAAAAAGATATCTTTTTCAGTTTACCGGATGGAGGCCCATTCAGCGGTCGCTGTCAAATACATGGGTCGGTTAGGATGCCGCATTCTGAATCAGAGGACCTAACTGTTACAGCAGAAGAAACCGACGCAGCTATCAAAAGTCCGATATTGAGAAACGTCGCATTTTCGCACTCACGCTGTCCACCAGAAATTCATAAATCGTGTTTTTGTGTGAGGTTTATCGCCGAACATACCAAGATGTTGGAGGACTCGACAAAGGTTGGTAGTAGATCGAAACAGCTGAATTGAGTTTACAAGCCGTGTTCCTTTCAGGTCAAAGAGGATTGGAAGTATGTCGCGATGGTGTTAGATCGTCTTTTCTTGTGGATATTTACTTTGGCTGTGCTGGTGGGAACGGCGGGAATAATCCTGCAGGCGCCAACGCTTTACGACGATCGCGTACCTATCGACAAGAACGGATCGGACTCGTCGCTCGTTCGTTACCCTCCACAGTAACTCGTTATGCCTTAACGTAGATCTATTTTCATATCATAACCAGATCAACAATAATGAAATTGTATATTAACGTTGATATCGTTAAATCAGATGTAAGAGTGGGCATAGATGACTAATTTAAACTGAAAGAATTTGATTGAGTGAAAGTTTTTTTTACAGGGTATAATACATTGCTCAGGATAGTTAGAAATGCTATGTAATATTAAGGTTCTTAACTTATCATCAGTATAGCCATATTGTTTTACAATTGACTAAAGCAACGTCTAGCCACACCTTCAGATATAATTAGCGTCATAGCGTGTGTAAATGCAATACATATTTGTAATACATTTTCGGTCACTTTCATCTTAGGCTCAATGGAATATCATCTAGAAGTAAATCGAAAAAAGCTAGATAGATCTTGTTATCTGCTTTTTACAATATACTTCCAGATTGTGCCTTAAAAATGTAGCTTGGTAATTTTTGTAATGATAAAAAATACTTTAGTGAAATGATGCTTGAGAATGTGTCTGTGGGGTGACGTACAGTACACATTAAACTACCCGACTATTATCAATGAGCGTCGTTTGTTGTATGCTTACCTGCATGCTCCGTAATTATTTAATTTAATCAATTATTTTTTCACCCATGATCATACTTTACACTGCTTTGGCTCTTTGCAAATGGCGCGTTTAAGATTGCGGTGTGTAATTCATCAGTGTGGTAATTCAATTGCCTTAGTAAATTTTCAAAACCTGTGTCCACAGTTTCGGAACATTGTCCGAATTAAAAACGCTTTGAATGCCAAATTTAAAAGTGGACATAAAGTAAAAAAGTTCCCTTTATTTAAATAAGATTTTTTTTGTTTTGTTTTTGTAGTTTTTATACTAGTAAAATTAAGTTGAAAGCAATACGTTTGTCGTTCACTTATACGTGGTAAAACACTTAGTGATTTTTAGGAAATGAAAATATAGAGAACGTATTTAAATGATATTAAATAGCACAATTAAATAAATGTTTCTAAATAAAAAAAAACGAATAGATAAAATTAAATAGAGAAATGAATAAAAACGTAGTATATAGGCAATTAAAATTAATATTAGATAGACATTTATAGACTGCCCAACTGGACACAAAGGGAACATACTGTTTACAGACTTACTGTTTTGTAGGTAATGTTTAAACTCAAATTGTAAATTAAGATAGTTTAAAAGTTGTTATACGTTGTTGCTTATTTTATAATCTTGCTTCGTAATAAAGAATGATAACATAAACGTTCTACTAAAATTTATAGTGGTAACAGCATGATGGAAAACTGTGGAAAACCAGTGTGCAAGAAGAATTTAAAACATTCTTTCTACTTTGATGATTTCAATAACTAACACTGGAACCACCGACATAGAACAACAAGTGAACGTTCTTTGAACGACCAGATGAAGTACATTAAATGTCCTATGGAGGTTTGTAGAATGTTACATTGGCACAGTAATGGAATTTACAAAGAAAGAGCCATTCTCAACTATACGTTTTTAACCCTACGATCCATGGCTACTTAAATCTAAGCTAATGGATAGTAACTCATACTAAATAAAACGTAGTATTTCACTGTTTTAGCATTATGTATATGTTATGTTTACGGTTATGCTTTCAAGTAGGAGTTTTGTACTTGGTTGCTCGCAATGAGCTCATACGCCCGATCTTAACTGGACACATTCCTAATCTAATTTTTTTAGTGGTGTAATGCTTAGATTCAGAAAAGGCAGGGTTTGAAACTTCTGGAATTTTTGCTGTCTTTCACAATAGTTTGTTGTAATTTTGGATTTCTAACCCTGACTGGCAGTATGAGTTGGTAGACTAAATCTTTCACTTTAAAAAATTGATCATCCGCATACAGGGTGACCCATTGTTATTATGCCGATCTCGACCAATACGTCAACATGACGTTGATTACACAACAATCTACAAGGCGCTCCATTTAAACAATCGCCACTTCAATGGATATCTTGATAACAAGATCTGAAATTCTACCATACATTACTTCCGTAAATTAATCAAACTTCAAATTCATGAAAAAAAGATGCTACTTGACTCGTGTGAAGCACTTTAACGTTGGACAAACAGTAATCATTACATTCGTATATTGGAAATACATTATTTGGAATTCTGAAAAATAAAAATAATGTTGTATGCACGTGCACCTCAGGCATTACTCGATATTTAACGCTCGGGGAACTTACAATTCCTCGGGCCGGAGGCCTTCGGGCTCTGTCGCCCTCGGAATAAACATCGCCTTAATGGCCTTGATACATATATAACTATTTTCCCTTATTTTTGAATTACATCGCGGATATAATAAAAAATACTGTTACAAACACGTGTATATCTGATCTTTAAAGCACTTGCAACGTTTAAAACTCGTTGCGGGTGCTTTAAAGACTTGATTATACACTTGTCACTATTTTATTATACCTGCCACAGAATCGCTGATTAAAACACGCCTACGCTGAAAAAGGTGACTAAAGCACGCCGAGCTTGAAAGGTTAAGTAACGTTGCTTCAAATACCACATATGAAACTATAATCTGGGACAGAACTAAAAAATCCTTTCTGATCGCATTGTGAAAATGCAAAAGATGTCTTTTCGGCTCTCATCCTCTGTTGGAAGCTTTCACAAACGACCGTGGTTTAGAGTAGGTAGGTATGCTGCCAAATCTGTTTTTAATCTCAGCATTATTTGAAGTTGTGGGTGAATGCGCTTAGGACTGTTTGAAAGATGTTTCCTATTCATCCACGTCAACAACTTTCCATATTCCATATAATATGCATTTGGATTTTACAGGTACCAACTTTTTCTGCTTTTGCAACAAGCCCTTGAATGGACGGTGTATTATGTTCGTCAACCGAAGTCATTTCATTCACAAAAAACGGAGATTTTTTTATAAGTAAACAAGTGACATGGCAATCATGGAATTACGAATAATCAACCCATTTAAATAAGAATGTTTTCGAGCATAACGTCAATGTGATTTCATTTTATTTGTATATTTTTTAATTATATTATAGATATAATAGAAAATACCATATGAAACGCGCGTATAATTGGTCCATCAAGCACTTGCAATGTTTCGCGTGCTTTAAAATCTTGATTATACACTTGTTTCATAATGTACTATAGAAGCACCTCCTGAACATGAAAAACCTGTTTTTTTAAAGATATGGAATGATCTTTATTATGGAACAATTTTGAATAGTATTTTGATACGATAGTGATACCTTTTTGTTTCAAATTGAGTTGCTGTCCAGCGCAATTCTGCAGAAAATAAACGCTATTGTGCACCCACTATGTAGTGTTACTAACACTTATCCTCTAGTTTTTCTATTCAGATTTTTCGTTATGTTCCCGATTAAGAGTCAAGTATGGATATGTGGGTCGGACATCAGAAATAAAAAAGCTAGTTTGACGATAAGTAACAATAATTGTCTAATTAATTTCAATCAAGTGGTGTGGTGGCCCGACATTCTTTTGTGTAGTTCGTTGGGAGAACTGATTGTGTGAGATTTTCAAACTCGGAATATTTACAGGAGCAGTTTTTGAACAATAGTTCATGTGGTGGTACCAAGGTGTTCTTAAAATACACCATCTATAATCAAGTTCAATTAAGATCAACAACGTTTCGGAATTGTACGTACCTTTACAATGTAATCTTCGTTTTGCGATCGCTTGCGAAGTTCAAACGCCACAGCCGAACTACACTCAGGAATATGCGGTTCAAATTCGGTCAACATTGTTAAAATACTGTACAAGTTAAATTCGTGACAGGCATACAAAAACATCTTTCTTTGCCTTTCCGCTCCGTCGACAAATGCCTTCATCTTGCTTACGACATTCTTTAGCAACCTCCCTAAAGCAGTAGTAACGTTGAAACATCAAGCCACGTGTTAATTAGTTATTTTACCTCCGTTTAACCTCCTTAACTGATCATTGCCACTTTCGTAATGGAGCCTGGCAATTGCCAAATCGGTGATACGGCTCATAACAGAATCCACCCATAGTGGGTGAGCCAAGCCCAAATCTTTTTCCCTCGAAAGTGCTCCGTGTAGGAAGAAAACATCCATCAGTGACTTCATGCGACGCCCCGTCTTCTCAGTAAGGTACTGTAGCAAATCTTTATTAGTTTCAAGTATACTGCTACTTTCATTTTGCGAAAGCAAGTGATTGAGCTCCTCGTCGTATGCTGGGCAAAAATATCTAGGTTGTTGCAATTCCTACAGAACATAAACGTTGAAAACACATAAAAACCAGTAGGTATTTGTTACATAAGTTGTTGATGTAATGTTGTAGCTGGGAAGTGCGCTAAATTCGCATTTAGAGAACAACCCATGCAGCAATAGTTGTGCACTTTTCATGGTTCTATCCGTTCCAGAATCTTTGGAAATTATTTCGTCCGGATTGTAGGAGCTTCCTATAAAAGTGCCATAATGTGCACGTAGTATATTTCCAAGAATGCATGACTCCTTCTCGCCAATCTACAATACTAGTAATAGAAATGTCATAAGTAGTTCTTGGTATGAAGCTAAGTTTACTCTGGTCAGTTTTTCCCAGTGATCCAGGTTAAACAATGTCAAATGAGGATCCTTGGGATATAATTCTCTCTCGGATGGGTATCTTTTACCATGTCTAAAAAACTGAAACATCTATGTATTAGGCTATATGTACAAGAAAACGTCGACATCGAATTTCTATGGTTTCGAGTTAAAAATCTATTTCACAGGGAAATGCAGTACAAAATGAGCATTTAAGCGTAGTAGTGGTGACTGCAGCCTCCCACGCTCCCACTAAAAACGGCAATCTCAGAAGCCAAGCATGGGTAGTGAACTACACGGGCCGGTCATTGACGTTTGGAAACCTAACTTTATTGCGTATACCTTGGCGTATACGAACGGAATCCCGCGAGATTTAAAGGTAGGACCATCTTAACTCGTGGGTGGAGTGGAAGAAATAATAAATTTCTTAGCTTCCCCTATACGCCACGTGATACAGATATCTGTTTAGTAGGCTCACATGGATAAAAAGTAAACAAAACCATTTCAAAAATTGGAAGTGATGCGTTCGTTGATTTCGAAAATCTTGAAACTGGAACATTCCAGTCCAGTAGATCCAGCTTGTGACGGCGACTCCTGGTGCGCATAGTTGAGTTCGTTTAAACGGTTGCCATGGCGACTTTCTTAATGTGCATATTTGACCTCGAAAGCCACGAATATGACAAGATAGGTATTTCTAAATTCAGTCATCTTTTAATTTTTAGCATAAAGAAGCAACATTCGGCTGGGTAGTAAGCAATTTTGAATTGAACAAGTTCCTTTTGGACTAAAAACTTATTATCTACACCGCAATTAAATATGGAGTAAGGAAAAACCAGTTGCTAACGTTGAACGTTACTCTTCTGTACATGCCGCTACAACTTGATCGAATGCGGCAATGTACCAAAATCAAATAATAACAGCCGTAATAATTATTAGGTCACGGCATAAGGTCGCCGTTAAAGTAAATAACATCACTGTTGACAAGAATGACAAAAATAATAATAATTACGCGCCGTTTATGGCCTACAGTTAGTTTCGCATTATTTTTATAGCGAACTTTATTCAAACAAATGAATACACTTACTATGTGAACTTGCTGCAATGTGTCTTCATCGTCGGCTATACACGTTTTAGTCACCAGTGGGATAAACACAATCAATACCAATAACTGACTCATGTCCATTGCATGATAATTCTAAGATGTTTAAGTTATTTGTTGCCGACGAGAACTTGTTTAGTTACTTTATTGAGAAACCGGTGTTACGCAAAGGCAAAAGGAGAAATCTAATCAGGAAACATTATTCATTTAGCATGTAATTGCTTCATATTTAACTTTTCGGTACTCACAATTAGAGCCTCAAGTTCAAGGCAATGAGTCATTGTTGCACATTCATTTTACCACAGATCTGTGCCTTTACTCTTTAGTTACGATTACTTTATTTTGTAGGAAAAACCTCAGTTACGATTAAGTGTTAAAAATATTCTATGTAGATTGATCTTACCTGACAATTTATTATAGAACCGCTCAATGCAAGGAGGCTAGAGTAGTTTTTTATGATACGTTCTTTCTTTTATCATAGTCCATGGCTACTTAGACTAAAAACTCGTGAAAACAGAATCTTTATAATTAATATTTTCGCGTACAAGAAGAGGTAGAATAATCGTTTCACATGATTTAGATGCAGAATTTATATCTCTATAACTTTTATTTGAAGTATTTTTGCGTAAAATAATTAGGAAACATTTGCGCAAAGAAAAAGTAATTTCCCATGTTAAACGCCTATGTTCCACTTTTCGATTTACACCCTGTACAAAAAGCGGTTATCGCAATAGCCACCTACAGTGACTTTATAGGGACAGTGGCGACAACTTATCATAAATCGGCCATATTGGAGCAAACTAATAATAACAATCATAACTAATAGATGGCGCCAACCATTTATCCGATTTACAGCGACTGTAGTAAGTACTGGTTACACCTCTGAGGTTTACACTAACTGATTGTGACGAAACTCTGGGGAATGGTTAGACGCTATAGTTGGACGTACAGTGACTGTGTTAGGGACATGACAACAGTTCTCAGAGATTTAGAAATAGGTAAAGACGAAATTCACAGGTAGAAAAATGTGTTTATTTACAATGGCCAGCAACTGATTTGCTGGCGTATATTGCACTTGAGGCCTTGCGTTTCATTGATCTTATTTTTAACCTGAATGTTACAAATCTATTAATAAATTTATATTTTAACCGGTGACATTCGGGGATTGAAACATCTTTGGAGTTCATTTTCTCCAAGTAAAACTCCTTTAAATTAATATTTTGAGTTGAAACTATGGGAAAAAACTTTTTAAATATCCATTCTAATTGCAAAACAAAATGAAAAAATTCTTCTGTACAGAAGAAAAGTGTATTTTCTTTGAATCTTTTAAGATTAGTAAACTTAGAAAACACATTTTTTATCGGTTTTTTGGAACCCACAGCCGCCAAACATCGTGGACATGTTTTTGAAGTTTTCATTATACTGTGGACTAAATATCCACAAACGTTGTACAAAGAATTTAGTTCACTAAAATTTAAATTATATCCATCGTAATTTACTTGTTCTGGAATCTTTACTTCATCATATTTTCGGATAAGATGAGGTAAGGTGTCTAAAAAACCTGACAAAAATTCTCTATCATCTTCATCGTAGCTGCCTCTGATGGGGTTTTTTAAATACTGCGCGACACAAATCAACTTTAAATGGTTTTTGACTTGTAAAGCATTTGGTACTACTTGTTTGCTTCTTAAAACACAAAACAGATTTTCCAAGCAGTCCTGAGTAAACCTACTAGTCAGAATAAACTTATATTGTTTGTTTTCTAGAAGATGTTCTTGGAGTTCTAACAGTGACTGCGTTGTAATTAACACACCTGTCTGCGAAGGTTTCCAAACTTTCTTCACTCCAACTTCTAAAGATTTAAAAATGTGCATAAAATCCTTTAAAAAGGTTATGGAATCCGTATATGCACATTTATTATACTTGCTTAATGCACTCGATGGATGTCGGGATGTCATTAAATAAAACCATTGTTCGACTTGATCCAAAAACCAAGCAGTTGTCAAGTACTCGGGTTTTTTCATTTCTTCTGCAAGAAACTTGAGGGCACTGCTAACATTGTGGCTAATTATGTTGGTAGAAGTAGATACCTTCATCTTATTAAAATGTGATGGCAGCAAATCAGCTTCTGACAATCTTGGTGCCAATTTAAATTCGTGTTCTTCTTGGTATGCCGCAATTTCCGAAATATGATTTGCTCTTATTTCATTGGTGGGCAATTTATATTTTTCTTTTAGCGTGTCGGGTATTCTTATTATTTTATTTGACAAAAGCATAGATTTAATATTCTTAAAAAGATGTGGTGCATCAGCAAACATATATACATACTCATTGTTATTTATTGGGTGGGGAATTTTGCATTTAGTTTCAGAATGCCTTCCTGCCATAACACCCAATGCTTTCCACAATGCTTGATTAGAAGCACCCATATCTGATGTTACGCTTAGAATGTTCAGTTTTAATTCTTCCGCTCTTTTAAGGATTTCCATTATAATGTCTTTAAAAACTGTACCATTCACCGAATTGCTAGTATAATAGTAAGCAACGACCTGTTTCCAACGCACAGTAATTCCACCCAACATAAAAACTAGCACATGAGTTGCTATTCCAGTATGCTCTGGTAAAGTCACATCACCAAAATATTTGGAAAGAGATGAATCGTACGTGTTGCCTGGAGTGATGGCCATTTCGTCTAACACTAAAACACAATCTTTTTCAAATTCACAAAATGATTCAACTTTTGTTTGTAAAAACTCGAAAACTTCAATTAAAATCCCACTATCAAATGTTAGATTCTGTAGTCTTCTTTGCAGGGTTCGTTTTGAAGGAAGAGGATGGCCTTGTTTTAGCAGCTCCTCATAGCCATTACCTCCACAACTGAATTTGAGTTTGAGCGATTTAGTAATAAATTGTAGAATTTGACCACTTCAAGCCCTTACTTGATCGGTTGCTTTTTCGTTTCTTCAAAACCTCTACTTGATCCTCATTAAAAATATTTCTTAATATAGGATATTCATCTGGAATATTGCTTGCCTTATCTTTTAAGGTTTTGTTTTCCTTCTTAATGTTACATAACATTTGTTTGTACCGTCTGGCCTTTTGTCTTTCTCTTATATACATTTTTTCATATCGCAAAAATTTAGATTTGCAGTCTTTATGAACATCAATGAATGAAGTCGAAGCTGTTAAGGTTGACGGTGACGATTCTCGAATATTTTCATCTAACGTGACAGAAAGGATGTCTGATGATGCCGCTGATGTTGAAGGTTCTGGATCACTGATACCATAATCCGTGGTTTGATCTAAGACATAAAAAATGTATTTTACATCTGCTAGTAGGTATACTACTATACACATTTTGCAATTTTAGAATAGCAATTTATATAACCAGTTTTGATGTTTGTTTACGGAAATTGTCAATGAAAAAGGTATAGGTACAGTAATTATTTTTAAGCAATTGAGTATAAACTTACTTAATTCTTGGACTGACGTATTTTCTGGTGTAGGTGCTTTTCTTGTTAATGTTGATTTGGAGAAAGCAAACATTGTCGGAACAGCATTACATTTTAGTACACGCTTTCCATCTACGCGGGTCTTTTCCCACATCTCGGGACCAAAGTGGACCTACAGAAATAACTAGTTATTTAATAATATATGTACTCCATGTTAATTAAGAAGTGTAAAAGTTATCTCGTAGGACATGATTAAATAAACTTAGAATAAACTTACTTCGCATAAGCGCATTGCATCAGTTGGTTGCCAGTTGCCTTTTTTCATTTTGATTATCCATTCCATCCATTCCTGCTTTCTTTTTGGGTCCCTCGGAAATCGTTTCATCAAGAAACCTTTCTTTGCGGAATTGCTGCATCCTTCAGCGGCACACCCACCCATTATATCTAAAAACTAGACACATGTCCTTCGTCAAACAAACAAAATTGTATTACCCAATTAAGAAAATACTTACATTTCTATTAACTTTTAACACACTAAACTACGTCTTTACGTAGAACCGATTATTTGCAATACAAATTTTAGTTTAAACAGCACCTTTAATGACAAATTTCGTAAAACAAAAAACACGTGTAAAATATTAGCGATTTACAAATTGTGAGGCGCCCTCTCCCGACAGTTATTTGAGTTAGTATTGTGCTGTCAGCGTATTATCTGAACGTCAAAAACAGTTTCAAACGGTAATGTAAATCGCGAATAGCCATGATTTTGCTCCAATATGGCGATCGGAACCAACTTCCAATCAAAAACGAGTACCGGGTTGTCGCCACTGTGCCTATAAAGTCACTGTATAGCCACCTAGCTCGAGCTGGGAAACTATAAAAAGGGATCACGCGATTTAAAAGACAAAACAAAACGTTGACTTAAAATCTATCAGGCGATGATTGCGAACCTGGGACTGAATACAATTTTGAGGAGAGTTTTCTTGGGGTGATTGCCACCAGGACACAGTTTCACATTTTGCGTAGAGGCTTAACTTATGGCAATTGGATAGTTGGAGAACGGGATGAACTACCACCGTGAAGCAGTCTCAAAACCCGTAACGAAACAAGACCTAACTTATGGTAGTTCGGAAAAAGGACTCTAATGGACACAGGTTACTTGTCGAAAAATCTTCTTTTATTACTGTAATTACCCATTTTATACAATTAGTTTTTAATTAAATTTACAGCGCTTTACAAAAATTAATTATGTTGACATAGAAGCTTATGGGAATAAAATTAATTGTTTATGTTCTGTCACAAAAATAACTTGCTTAGTTGAACGATTACCACTGATGTATGCAGTTCCATAAAAAGGATAAAAGGAGTTTGCTTATAACCAGCAATGCAAACTGTTACAACTGCTTCATGACCTATACACGCAAATAAATTACGAAACATTGATCTAAACACTGTCTCTAGCTTTTATGACACACAACCGTTTATTAAATGTTGATTAAAAGCAATCATGTAATTGTAACATTTATTTCCAAATTATTTGAAATTACATAGCAAACATTACTTTGTAACTGAAACGTGATTTAGTTTCTTCTACAAATTGTATTGCAACAGTTGCGAGTTACAAAAAATGTCTCCTCCGTTAAGGTGACACAGATCCACTCTCTTCTTTATTGTTTCGAAAACTGCATGAAGTTGGTGTTGTGTTATGTTATGAAAAGAAGAAATCTCCTTGCAATTCATCGCCGTAAAGTCGATCAATAAACACTTGTAACATTGCACGGTAACTTTGGGCATTGTCAAGGAATATCGGCTCCAAAATTCGCCTTCTCGACATTGCTAACCACACGCCTACCTTCAGAGGATGAAGCGGAGATTCCTGACAAACATACGGTTTTTCAGCACTCCAAGTTCGGTTGTTTTGGGAAGTAACTACTGAACTAAAATTATACTGGGATGCGCTATCCGAGAGAGAGGGCCACATCTCTGTCCTACTTCCGCGCATGCATAGAGCAGCCTATTTGACATATTTTGAATTTATATTAATGATCAGTTTCCCAATGAGTGACTGTGACAGAAATCCCCCTTGCACAATCTCTCTCTCTCTCTCGCTACGTTTCTATGGCAGAGATCGGCAGTGCGGGTTCCAGTTTAATTATAGTTCAGTGGATGTAACGTATCCACTAAGGTGAAACCAAGCCTCATACGAGAAATAACTTTTGTCTAATGAATTGTCGTCTCGTAGAGTTTCATTAAAATAATTT